AATCTGACCTCCAGTTCTAATGTAAAGAATCTCGGTGTTATTTTTGATCAGAAAATGTCTTTTAACCCCCACATTAAAAATGTTACCAGGACCGCCTTCTTCCACCTGTGTAATTTCACTAAAATTAGAAACATTTTGTCCAAAAATGATGCAGAAAAACGGATTCATGCATTTATCATGTCTAGACTGGATTACTGTAATTCTTTATTATCTGGGTCCAAAAAACTCTTTAAGAAGTCCTAAATCACTCGTACGCACAACTTAAGAACAAATCTGTGCGTACGAACGGTTCTTGCATGAGGCCCATTTTGCCCAAAAATGATGCAGAAAAACGGATTCATGCATTTAGCAGGTCTAGACTGGATTACTGTAATTCTTTATTATCTGGGTCCAAAAAACTCTTTAAGAAGTCTTCAGTTAACCCAAAATGCTGCTGCTAGAGTTTTAATGAGAGTTGGAAGGAGAGATCATATTTCTCCAGTTTTAGCTTCTCTCCACTGACTCCCTGTCAAATTTAGAATAGAATTTAAAATATTATTTCTAATATACAAAGCTCTTCACAACCAAGCTCCATCTTATATCAAACATCTTATTGTTCCATACTTTCCTAACAGAGCACTTGGCTCTCAGGCTGCAGGTTTACTTGTGGTTCCTGGAGTTTATTGGTTGAGTTGGTTTAATCCAACTCAACTTGTACACCACTAGTCAGACACCATTCAGCTTCAAATATATGAAAATAAACTAAAATTTGATTGTTTAAAGTGCAAAACCAGTGGTGAATCTCCTGATTGTGAATCAAAAAGAATAAAATAAAACACTGTGTCCAATTAAATATCACATTAGCTCCACAAGTTCCTACATGCTGCGTTTAGCCTGGAGCTCAGGTTGAAGTCTGTGTAAGACTTTTAAATGAAATTAAATTGATAGAAACACAACAGAATGACAGATATTTTATCCAAGCATTTCTTCTAAAAGACACAGGAGACACAGACAGACTCCAACCTACCTTCAGCAGGCTGTCTCAGGTGAAGTGGACTGTCCCTGATGATGCGATGGATGATTTTAAAGATGCGAGCCTCTCTCAGCAGTTTGTCTAAAGCGTACATCTCTCGACACCGCAGAGGACCAAACATGCCCAGATGCTACACACAGAATGCTACAGGTCACTTTACAACAAGCAGGAACATGTATGATCAGACGAACAATTCTTTACATCATCGTCACAGAATAATAAACCCTTAACTCAACACCTGCGACAAACACATGAAATATAATAGCAATCAACAGCTTTAATTAAAAAATTAATTTAATTTAATCTAATCAAGAGTAAATTCTGTTTACATGAAGGGGGTGGGACTTGAAACCTGTATAGTAACCATCCTGCAGGGGGGTACTGTAACAACTCAGGTTTTAACAACTGATTTCTCATTTGCAGCATATTAACACCTGTCAGTGGTAGATGAGGGCTTTAAGATAATATCAGATTTTATGATGCATTAAAAGGGTTGGCTGTGGAACAGCAGGGTAGCTAACTTGGGGCTGGAAAGTTGCAGGTTTGACTCCCTGACATATGTCATGATGTCTTTCAGCAGGACACCTTCCTAACTTCCATATGTAGCTATCCTCTGCTCTACTTGGGTGTGTCTCATGTCAATTTAATGCACGGCCATTGTACTAGAATGCACAATGATGACAACAAACATACCGCATCACATTTCTAAAATAAAACGTGATTCTTTTAAATCCTTCCCTTTCACATTAACTCCCTCAGTTGGGTCTATATAAAGTGGAACTGCAATGCTTGGGTCTGAATTCCTCCCTATCATAATGCCACAAGCTCTGCCCCTTTCCTGGGGTGTGTTTCAGATTAACTCATTTTGGCGCTGTCTCTTAAATGCAAATGAGGCACTCCACACTCCGACCCCATCAAGGTCTCACTCCACCCCGTTTGGCCATTTTTGTAGTTCGATAGCAGAGATACAACACACAAACTTTTTATTTACAAATGAATTATGTCAACAAGGGAAGACTTGTCCATCCAGCCTTACATGTTGGACATGTGCTGTCCGTGGTGCTGAAATACTGACTGCCTTTTTTTCACCTAAAGAGCTTTGAATTGCTTCAAAGTCCAATTTTATTTATCTCAATATGTTCTTGTTAGACTTAAATAAACAAACACCAAATCAAATGTGAGCTGCTATATAAAATAAATGAAAAATCAACATTATGATGCACCTCCACTGTATTGTAAAGCCTTGGGAAATCTTTTTTCAATATTTTCCCCTTAAATTTTATGTTTTATAATGTAACTTTCTTTCATCTAAGATATCTTCTCCCATGTATATTTTCAAATATAGAGAAACAAACAAACACATAATACAGCAAAACATCAGAGTTCAGCAGAACATTCAATAATCAGTAAAGTGTGTAGAGTCTAAATAACCTGCCTGAATGTAAAAATAATCTGCTTCATATTTGACAATAGATGTTACAGTAAATATAGAGTAAAACACGATCATAGTTACACCTCAGTGTGGTGTTTCCTGCTCTGCTGGCAGCAGCTTCAGCATGGAATCAACAGAAAGTCAGTAAATGATAAGAACAGTGCAGGACTCCTACCAGCAGCTGTGCACTGCAGTGTTTCAGGTGGACGACCAGCGAGGTGTCCAGGGTGATGCAGCCGGTGGTCAGGGGCGAGTCAGGAGAGGAGTGGCTGTTCCAGCCTCGATCCTGTCGGGTTCTACACACAAACAGGACCAGAACACCATGAGGTGAAGCTTCTGATGCTGCAGCTTTCTGTTGGTCAACTCATTGTGGTTTATAAAGACAGCTGTATAGTTTCAATCACTGTCAAGTAAGCTTTGTAAAAAAAAAATATTTGTAAATTAAAGTTCATGTGACATGTACATCTTTCAAATAAAAAAATCAACGAAAACATATTTATAAACTTGGTATAACACAAATAATTTTATTATTTTTGTCACATAACTGGCAGAATATTTTAACTTGGCTCAGCCGAAGTGAAACAGGAAGTGACATCAAAGGGTAACTCTTTAAGAAAATGAACTCTGTTCTTTGTTTATTGAAAACATATTATTTGAACTCTGACTCTTCTTCATCTCTCAGATAGAGACTCACAATAATCTAAAGAAACATCAGATTCTTCTCAACAGCTGTTCTAGCAACACTCTGCTCATGTTGAGTCATTCCCTTTTGACATCACTTCCTGTTACTGCACATGAATATATCAAAAACTGTTCATGGTGTGAAATTTATTTTGAAATATGTTATTCATGTTATCTTTCCAATAATGCATTCAGATTTATTACAAAAATTGATGTCACTGGCACTTTAAATTCTCGTCTACTCATTAAGTGCGTTGTCTCATGATAACCAGCTGTGGCAGCCATCTTTACTTTTGTTGACTCCACAAGTTAGTCAGAATTGTTTGCAGGTAATGACTCTAGACGTGAATGGATTAGTTTGGTATGTCCGCACCAACCTGCAGTTCCTCCTCGTGCCACCCTTGTCTTCCTCGTCTTCTTCACAGTCAGATGTATTCAGGAAATCAAAACTGCCCAAAGCAGATTCCACTGAAAGGCTGACCATGCTGGGTGAGCGGCTGTACCTGCTGCCCTGCACAGACACACACACACACACAAGCACACAAACAGCAGAAATGGCCATAAATATCAGTCCATTATAATGTTGCCAATGATCGCTCACAAACCATCTACACATAAAATTTATGATGGATGTCTCATCTTTTCCAAAACATAATTGATTATCTCAGTTTACTGATTCTTTTTAAAGTTAACCACTTTAAAGTAGACTTATCCTGCTTTTAAATCTTTACTTTTCCCATTTAACTCATTCAGTTGAGGTCTATATAAAGTGGAACTGCAACACTTTGGTCTGAATTCTTCCTAAATGTAACTCCACAAGCCCAGCCCCTTTTCTGTGGTGTGTCTCAGATCAACTCGTTTTGATTGATTGATTGATTGATTGATTGATTGATTGATTGATGATGCCTTTATTGTCATTGTACTTGAGCACAATGAAATTATATTTAAGAACACCCATTCAAGAAGACACACACATAAAAAACATGGGGGAACAGGTGTTTTGAGGCTGTCTCTTTAAATCCAAATGAGGAGGTTAACACCCTGCTCTCCTCAGCTTCCAGATGTGTTTATTCTAGTTTAATAGAAGGGTTTTATGGTTATATAGCCACGCAGAAACTTTTAATTTACAAATGAATTAAAAGATGTCAAACAAGGGAAGACTTGTCCATCCAGCCGTACGTTAGAGCCAGAGTCTGACCTAGAGCCAGAATGAAGACAACCAAACTGTAGTTGGTAAGTCCAGACTTATTTAGAAGTTCTGTCACAAAAACAGTAATGTAATAGTTCAGAAAATGTCATAAAAATGAAGAAAACTGAGTGGGCTGAATTTGAAATGACCCAAACAAAAGGTTAAAAAGGTATCTTTGTGGCATCAGGAGAGACTAAATTCACATTTTCTGCCTCCTAGAGACTCTGAGGACACTAGGGGTGTAAGAAAATATCGATAAACTAAAATATCTCGATGTTTCATTTCCCGACACTGTACAGATATTCTAAAGCCCTGTATCGATACTTTATTAAGGTTTAAAACCAACTTTCCTGCCAGCCGTTCATTTTTATGTTGTATTTCAGCCTCTGGCCTCTAGTTGGCAGCAGTGAGCCAGACATTTGGCTCCTCTACCTCTTGAGCGCCAGAGAGTAAGGGTAGCATTAGCATTGTGAGTAAACATTAGCTTCATGCTCCGATAGCTGAATCTGAGTGGAAAAGACCGACACCCTCTGCCTTCTAATAATAATAATAATGATACATTTTATTTGTAATACACTTTACATTTCGAGGAAATCTCAAAGTGCTAAGTTCTAAGCTGAGGTAAGGTTACGAACAGTTACTTAATTGTCAGAATGTCTGTATTTTAAGACAAATTAAGTGTTTCCTGCGCTCTTTTTTCCAACTGTAGTCACGTCACATTATGGAAGACAGGAAGGCAGGCAGGGCAGGCATGCATATATAGCGCAAGCGTAGCGCCTTGAGCGAGCTCAGAACTCCCCCCTTGACATAAAACTCTGTCTGTTGCTCTCAGATGTCCGGCTTATGATCGCATCAAAGTCCATATTCTTTAATTTTATCCTGCTGTGTTCGCTTCAAAAACGGTTTAACTGTGTTGTTTAGCTTCTCCATTTATTTACAGTTTATTTTCAGGACCTGCCCTGCTGTTCGACCCACAGTTATACAAATCATGTTCTGGATGCAGGTCAGCTGATCCCAGAAACTCTGTGTGCAGCAGCTTCATATCATCTGTTTACTGANCAGGTCAGCTGATCCCAGAAACTCTGTGTGCAGCAGCTTCATATCATCTGTTTACTGAACTTTATGACAACATAAAGCCTATTGTTAAGTGTTGGAAATTAATATTAAAAACTAAAAGCTGCAAAAATATATTTTCAAACTATTTATCGGCAAATTTAGTCTAATAATTGAAAACATGGATGAAATATGAAACAAATAAAATAAAATACATACAAAGCAGAACACAGCTAAATGTATCAAAAGTATGTCTATGTAATAGAAGTTTCTGAGACAATGAATTTTGGTTTTTCATTTTTTTCCCAGTAAGAGGTTTTTATTTAATGGAATTTTTGGACAAAAAAATCGCAATATATCGCTTTGCTTACAGAATCGTAATATATCGGGATATTTCGTATCGTGACCCCTCTGTCATGAAATGTATCGTATAGCCAAATTCTTGCCAATACACAGCCCTAGAGGACACAATAAAATGTATTTAATGGCTAAAAGGGTGGATTTTGCATGAAATGTCCTCTTTAAAGCTGTTGATCATTGATCAAAAGGAAAAAAAATTGTATAGGTCCTCTGGACGGGTTCTTCTTTAATGAAACGTTTCATCTCTCTTCCAAGAGACTTCTTCAGTCTGAGAGTTTCAAGCAAAATTTTGATGGACAAGTGGTGGCCTGTGGGCTGTGACTTCTGTTGTTTAAGGCAAACCTGTTTATTCTGCTTAGAGACACTGTCTGCCATGAAGGATTTTAATATAAGTCACCATTATTACAAGTTGCACAAAGCTAAATATGAGAAGTTTACTGAAGTTTACAACAGAGACATTTTACAAACACCTGGACCACGCAGCAGTCTGCACCCAAGGAGTCTTATGCTGTTACACTTCAGCTCGATAAAGTTAAGTGTTCATTTTTCGTTTGCTTTAAATGTTTTGAATTCATATTCATGAAACAAAAGTACAACTAATGTACATGCATTTGAGCACAGAAAATGTTAGGTTACTGCACTGTATGTGGGTTTAATAAACATATATGTACACAAACATTTTGAAAATAGCAGTTTTATTACATTTGCATAAGTGTGCAGCGATATGTGGCCCTCTGGTAGTGTCAACGAAAACTGTGGCCCCTTCCATCTTTTAAGTTGCCCATCCCTGTTTTTGTACCACTTGTTTGTCAACCTTACCTTCAGTGTGGCCTGCAGCAGCCTGAGCTCCTCCTCCAGTGTTTGTAAATCTGGGAACTGTCCTCGATAATCATCTAAACAGGAAACTAGAGTTTCCAGAGCGTCCGCCAGCCCAGTGTCCACAGAGTCAGCTCCTTCCCCGAGCAGACAGTCTCTTTCCTCACATGGCTCAGTTTTCTCCACTGGCATAGTGTTCAGGGTCTCCCTCTCAGTTCTGGGGGACGATGTCACAGCAGACTCGGCCTTTGGAAGCTCGAGCGGGAGCTGATCTGCACCGAGGCGCCCTGGGGACACGTCGGTGTTGGAGGCACTGGAGCTGGGAGGCTCAGGAGTTAAGCTGGGCCATTCTATCTCAATGTCACTGATGGAGGTCCCAGACACCAGAGAGATGATGTCCCCTGATTCACCAACAGACTGGTCTGTCAGGAGACTCTCATCAGCGCTGCTTTCACTGATGTGGCTGAGGGACCTCAGGGTCTGGCCCATCTTAGGACTGATGGTTCCTGCAGTGTCCACCTCTTCATCGCTCACTGGGATCGTCACTTTCTTGTCTCTGAAATCAATTCATATGTCAGTACAACAAATTTCACACGACAGCACATCATTTATTTTAACAAGCAGTCAGTTAAGCCCCCTTCACTCTGGATGACACCACTATTAGAAAAAAGAGTGGAAAACGACTTTGAGGTTTCGCTTAAAGCTCCAAATTGAAGGCAGTCTCTGACTACACAAACTTGAACAGATCTGTGGTTTTAAATGTTTTCTGTCTTGTGAGGGTTTGTCAGAAAATGTACTGCAGACCAGAAGGTCCAGGTAACCACAGCGAGGATGTGAAGATGGCTGCTAAGTTACTGTAGCAAGCCTCTGCCCACATTAAAGTGATCCATGATTAGTTGTAACATTAGACTTTATTTGATAAACATATATTTTAACTGTAAAATAAAGACTGTAAAAATACTGTTTAGTTTTTATCATTTTTAAACTAAAAGTTTAAAAATATATTACACGGACAGGGCCATTTTATTTACACACAAAGCATTCTGGGTAAGCGATGACATGGAAAGGTCCTCGGTGCGAGCGATCTATATCCACCCTGAAAATTAATCTTGGAGAATATCTGATGATCGACTCTTTTAAATGAAGCCAGAGAGAGTTGACAGAGAGGAGAAGGTAGAAATGACTCAGCCTGGAACTGAAAATATGGATGGAGGACAACAGTTTAGCTTGTTTGTCGCGCTAGCACTGAGCTAATACAGATAAGTCAGTTTTGGCTGTGTCCAAAATGACAGGCCGGGTCCTCCGAAGGCCGAACTCATCGGC